AGGCAGTATGACTACACAGCGCAATAACCCAGAAAACGGATATCTTCATACTCACCGCTGTGAGAACCTCAAGTCTTACATTTATAGGCATGTTTGCAGATAGTAGCTCCTGGTTTATCTGATTTTCTGTATAGGCCTGGATATGAATAAGAATACCCAAATCCTAATATTGTAACCTACTGAAGTGTTTGCGATACAGACTATAACCCCGAACAAATACACAGTGAAACAAATCCACACTGAACGACTGGGGTTGATTCCCTTTAGAGGCCAATTATTTTTCTCCAGCGTCATTTCCACATCGACTCTGATGTCAACTATTTCCCTTATCGAATGAGTACTGTGGAAAAGGGGGACTAAACCTGAATCTGATCACTCACACCGATCTAGTGCTGAGATTAACAATTCGTGGAGTTTAACCTTTACGCGCCCAACACGTCGAAATCTTATATCAGACTCCACGGCTCAACATCCCAGAAGACATTCATCTACGGTTTTATATTTTGTCTTTATAAAAATGTAAATCCGAAATAAAAGTGATTAAACAGTCAGGCTGTCAATACGATTTAAAATAAATTGTATCATTCTTTTGTTGACCACAGCGCGATATTAATAGGATATCCAATGACAGTTATATTTCGCCGGCCCAGAACAATTTCCCAACACTGTTATAATGGATCGTACATGATAAATCTCGGCAGCCATGGAGGAATAGAAACGGAATCATGTGACTGTGGTGATCACCTCCTTTCAGTCATCACCAATCACTCGGTTCCTGCTCGTGTGACCCAATTTCAACCCTTCAATCTTCGACTCATTAATCAATTTCAACACGAACGCTTGCAGTTTGAAACTTTTGTATGGCAGAGGCAGAGAATGTCTTCTTTCTCATGGAAACTGCTCTACATAACTTCGTCTAGAACTTTATCCGGCGTTGCAAAAAGGAAAAATAGAAACGAAAGAAAATAACGAAAAATCGAAAGTATCTTCCACAATGTAATTTGCATGTCTTGTATAACAGTGATGTAGCATACAACCAGAAGATCTTTCCACTTCATCGTACGAACTGTAATGATCATGTTGTAAATAATTCGGGCTGTTTCGATTGTCCTGTTTAGAAACTTGGGCTGTATTTTGGGGTTTCTCAATCAGTGCACCGATACATTTTGCATTTAAGTGCGTTTGTAAACATTCAACAGTTCACAAAGTACTGTAATATTGTAAGACTTGAGGTTCTCACAGCGGTGAGTATGAAGATTTCCGTCTTCTGGGTTGTTGCGCTGTGTAGTCTGGTCGATGTTAACCAACGTTTCAGAGGTCATACTGCCTTCGTCTTCAGTTATTGTCAAGTGTTTAGCATAAATAAATTAAGTAGTTGCTGTCTTGATGTATCTCGTATTTGTATCGTAATGTAGTTAAATTTTAATACTAAATATCCAGGTTATAGAAGTTTGTCACTCATAGGCTTGGTATATTAAAATTTCTGTTAATTTATTCAACGCTGTACACACCTAAGAGATTTTCTGGCGGTGTAGGTTTTGTAAATAATTCATAATTAGTGTTCAATATAAAGCAGGTGTTTTGTGTAAGGACAGGGAAGGTACAGGGTTTATAATTAATTAATTAATTTGCCTCTTTAAACTAATTACGGCATTGCTTTCAGAGTTTATATACCAGTGGAACATTCCAAGGGCTTAATATTTATTTTTGTCTCTCTCTCAAATGTTAATTGATGAATCGATTCTCATTTCAATTAAGTAAGAGTTTGAAGTACTAGAATATTAATTTGATATGGCATTTATTTCATTGCAAGACAAATATTCCTAAGTAGGCTGATTGATTAGTTTCTCTTCACTCTGTGTCTGTGCAGACAAATGTAGGAACAGCTCGTTAAGATGTATCACAGCCGCTTCAAACCATTTCATCATCCAAAAATATTTCCTATTGTAGCTGAAACCACTTCACTTGTACCGAGCGTACAGAACCAAATTTCATAATACAAGTCATCAATCTACTCAGTGTTGCCTACTGTAACTGACGTTGCTATTTCATATAACTGTCTTTAATTTATACTAAAAGGGAACATAGGCTTGTGTCTTCAACCCCGCGGTGTGTGAGTTTCTTGTAGTAAGTTCTGAACTGCTTGACGGATGTTACTGTAACTTAGTACAAACATCATTCGACTTGAGATCTCACCACCTTTCTTTCATTTTTAATTCCACATTGAGTACTACCAATATGGCTGCCATGCGAACTTGTGAGCAACAGTAGCGTATTTTCATTGGATCTTGAATGCTTGTGTGTAAAGAGAGCTTTCTAAATTTTTGTGCAACTTTGGACCAAGTTATTTGTAGTAAGTAAATCAGCAATATGGCGACCGTACGATATCTAGGGCTGTTTGAAGTTTTCGGTTTGTCTGTGATCAAAGGATGCTGTAGGCTGGTAGAACATAAATGTACATAGAAAACGTGTTTCTTATTTATAATTACAGGTAAATAAATATAACGACGGTGAGCCACTTAGGTATTATATTGGATAAATTTAACAAACTTTTAGTCTTTGCTAGTGAAAATTATGAATCTAAATTTGAATAACAACTGAATTCCGGAAGTATAAATTTATAGATTATGCTAACATTAAGATATGGGCGTAGACTGAAGCATTTTAAGGAAAGAAAGTAACACAAATTCCTCCCAGAAATTCTGTTTAAATTTTCGGGTAATGAAAACACACGCACTGACCCAAATATTTATACATATTTCACATAGTAGCATAAGCGCGCGTAATTTATAGATATATGAAAGTTTTAAGTCCATTAGATTTTATCTGAATGTACAAATTCTTGTTCGTATATCATTTTTGTAGATGTCAATTCTATTTTTTGTCTACATTTGATAATAAATAGAAGTGGTCCTCGTGTTTTCTTTCATAACATGAAGAAAAATGAAACGGCAATGGAAAGAAGAGATTACTTCATTCAGAAGAAGGGAATTTTCTATAGAGCCGGCCTGGCACTCTTCTTATCACAAGAGGGCGCTCGCATCATCAATTATCAGCAGCTGTTGGTGACTGACTGACAGACATCCAGGCCGGGTCTCAAAATTTGCATAGTTCAAGATACTGAAACGCAAATAGGCCTATTCTCATTTAGAGCCGTGTTCCTAATTTATTTTAAAACTAACGTCCACGTCTATTACGTTGCAAGCAAGCAAAGTTAGTTTATTATGTTTGTCTCTGTGACCGACCTATTTAACATTCGGGCAAGAGTTAGTAGTCTCAACAGCGCCAGACCGTTTCTGCCTTCTCATATCGAGATACGTTACATTATTTCTGTAATATGGTAATGAAAACAATTCACAGTTCACTAATTTTGACTGAAGTAATAATATAATAATTACTTTGTTATTAATACTGACTTACTCGGTAAATATAACAGTGCATTTTACGAAGTCCCAGAAGTAAGGTAACATAAATTATTTGGTTTCTACTGTGGTATTCAATATCAATAAGCATGTTCATTACTGAAGCTACAAATAAGTGTTTTGAATACTGCAAAATTGTGCTCAAAGCTTAAAGAAGGTGAAATCCACATTCACGCTTTGTTTGAAACCGTATGTTTGTACTCCAAAGAAAGTTGACATACAGGTAATTATTTACATGTGACAAGTCAACCAAAATGGCTGTATGCAGATCTGTTCAGTAATTCGGATTTTGTGCGCAAAGGGACTAAAGCAAGCTCAATTCACAAGAGGGGAATGCCATATCAAAGAAACAAGTTTGTTTCTGGTGTAATGAATTAAAAAAAATGACGTGTTAACATTAGTGATGAACCAATGAGTGGCAGACAGCCAACGAGCGAAACAAATAACAGTACCGTGCGCATTGAGCAGTGTGTTTTGGTAGACAGGCGTGAAAATTTGAACATCCGGGCAGAAGGTCTGTTTGATCGAGTCGAGTATTCTATGTTTACGAGGTAGTCCACAAGAAGCCTGTTTTCAAAAGGTGTGCGCCCTCTGGGCCGCAAAGTAGTTGACAAAGTTTCACAGTACAGCACGCATTGGTATGTGTCCACAGTTGTTGAAACATTGCCGCAACGAAAGTGAAGGAGGCGATAACATAGAAGCATCCAGGATCCGCTATAGTCAAAATTTCAAGTTCACTTTATCTGCGAGGAAGGAAATACCTTTTGGCATCACTCATACATTCTATTGATTGGCTTCGTACATCGTAGGCCGACAATCAGTGTTAAATGCTACGTGCAACTACTGCAGCCACCCGTGAGCGGGTTGCAACGCACATTATGGTAGGTGTTGGAGCATCCAACATACAGGTCAGATCTGACCTCCTCCGCCTTTATTATTATTTGGGTTTGTAAAGCATTATCTATATGGAGGGTACCTCGACTAATGAGGATGTTCAACATTAAGCGCGTCGTTGGCTCTTGGTGATGAACCCAGGCTTTTGCTGCAGGATTATGGATGGTTTCGCCGTATGGTTAGACAGATATGTTAACAGGCAAAGCGACTATGATGAAAATTGGTTCAAATATATGCCTTTATTTATGTAAAATATCATAATATTTCGATTAAAAAACTTCATGCAGAAGACTAATCGTACCTTACATTTTAGACTCCATTCACTCAATCCAGCTTGGACAGAGTGGACCGATGGAATATTGTGATTAAGTATGGTCTCCCTTTAAATCTGGTGAATACTATTAAAATACTATATGATAATACCAGTATTATTTTAATAACGAAAACAAAGATATCACAGGGACTCCCCCAGAAGTAAGTCAATTTAACATTTCTTAGAAGAATGGAAACTAACAAATCCAAAAATATGCACCTGGGAAATAATAAATATACAAACACAATACTATTTGCGCATGACCAGATACTTTTGGTAGAAACCTAATACCATTTACAATAAAATGTTGCAAAACTCGTTAAATAAAAATATCTACTAATAAAACGAAGGTAGTGGAAAGTGGAAGGAAAGTACATGAGGAAAGGGAAGATTGTTATAGATCATATCGTGATTAAACATACAAGTTCGTTTAAGTACGTGCGATGTAATATACCAACATACAAAATTAATGTGGACTTAGAAGTCAATGTGGAAAAATATAATGTTAGATGGATGCATTAAAACATGCTTGTGAAAAAAACTACGATTGCATAACACCATTTCGGATCCTGCCCTACAGTATGGGAGCGAGAAAATAAGAGTATTTAGAGAAAAGAGAAAAAAGGAGACTAGAAACATCGGAAATTAGATTTCTGATATCCGTTTTGAGGGTTTCACTAAGAGATAAAATGAGAAGTGAAGTCGTAAGAAGACAAACATAGAACGAATGGTGGAAGAAATACGAGAATGTCATAGACATTTTATAATCATGAAGAGAAGATGCTTCTTGAACGCCTGCCGCGGCAAACATACTTCTGTCAGCATACTGGAAGACGGGACATTGTGTGTCCAAGAAGCAGATGGAGACAATTCTTTTAGTATCGGAACTGGTCAAAGGATTCAATCCTTGAATGGGAAGAAGAATACATTATAGATAAATTTACACTTTTTATATTTTAATCTTTGTCAGGAAGAAGGCAAGAAGATAACAGAATCCTGGCGAAGTATTAGCAAGGGATTTTCGAATTTAATATGCTCTTAAATTTATTTGAATATGATGTTGATATAGCCCATTACCGTCCCTTCCAAATATTTAAATTTGTCTTATTACAAAATATTTGTTATATTCCTTTATATTATGGCATTGTTCCACGTTTTAGAAAAAAATATTTAGATATTAGCATTTTTCTATGAGTTAATTTTTAGACAATCTGTTCATTATAATTGCATCTTACAGTTTAATTAATTAATAAACAGCTAACTAACTCCATGGAGCAGAGTTCTGCTTGAGTGACTAATAAGTACACTTAGCTAGTCAGGAATTCTTCCAATTTTATGGAACCAGAATATTCCTTACCATATTCACAAGAGAGCGCCACCGGTCTAGCATGGGCCACATCAATCCAATCTACAATACAAAAAAAATTTTAACATCTGTTTTATTATTATCTTCGTATTTACATCTACGCATTGTGAATGTTCTTTTCCATTAGCATTTCCAACCAAAATTTTTTATGCATTTGTTATCTCCCCATGAGTCCTATATGACCCGTGCAGAATATCTGCATTGATGATTCAATTCAATTAATTTATTTATGTGTTTGCCAACAGCAAGAAGCCAATAACAGGCAAACACTGATAATACATACAATAATAATGAAATAATAATGAAAAATAGTACACAAACAGATTAACTAAACTTATACATGTACAGTATTAAATATAACTGCCAAGTACAGGCAGACCCAAAATAGGAACAATATTAACACAAAGCAAAATAAATGAAGAAATATAAATAAAAACAAATAATCCACCTAGGGAACACTAATATAATTGTAAAACGTTAAACAAATATAAAAAACAGATAACGATGCCGATGATGATAATAACGAAGGTGGTGATAATAACAATACTAATGTATCTCGGGGATAAGGTTTTCCTCCTTGCTTTTAGACAGATACCGTGTAGTATGGTGTAAAAGTAGAAATGATAATAAACTTGTAATTATCATCATTATCATAGTTTTGAGGTATCACATTTAGCAGTTTACCTTAATAATATCCTAATTTTTTGTGAAGGAAATATGTGTTTTCACCAGCGAATAAACTTCGTTATTACTTACTTATATTTACCGATTCATCTTCTGATCCGTTGGAAATGATGACATTTATAATTCCCGAATACAGTATTAGAAATATTCCAACTCGCTGAGCTTTGTCACAAACACATTTTCGGACCATATGTTTCGTGATAAAAGTGTTTCATGCCAAATTGGCATCGCAGCAGCAACGTAGATTATGATGATTTCACTGACGCGCAGTTCAACTGACGACTCGAACTTTTATCCGCTTTGAAGTGATCTCGGGACGTCGTCGGTCAGTTGCCAAAGCTATCTGCAGCGCTCCTCCGGGTTGTGTGTCTGTCTGTCTGTCTGTCTGTCTGGCAGTGCCAGCCCGTTTTCCTTTATCACAGTTCCAGTGTGCGGGTATTGGACGATGTGATGGATCACCAGAAAAAATATCCACGTCAAACGTGAGCAAAAAGTAATGTAAAGAAGAGAAGGACATATAGACCATTCTTCCTTTCTAGGACGTACCAAAAATCCTCGCAACAACTTGTGAATCTTCTGGTGCCTGTCTAGATTATTTGGACGTGCTTCTTTATAAGGACCTTCATGTGTTGTATACAACTAACGTCTTTTGAGCTACAAGTTTGCTGGTTTCCTTTACAGGGACTGATCCTTCCTAAAGGACCTAAGAAAAATTTTAGATGAAATTTCTGCAACGGATGATAAAGCAAAGCATTCAGTTGTAACTAATTCTGTGTAAACTCAATACCAAACAAAGGTTTCAACGTCCTCCGGCTCGATTGATTTAGAGATTATTTAACAACGCTGTTTAAAGTGAATCGGTTTATCATTTTGAATGTTATAGGGGCATGATTGTTAGTAGTGAGCATATAAGGGGTTTAAAAGAGGGCGAGTCGTAGCCCCACGTAACCTGCAATCCCGGTACTGAATAGTGAAAAACGAAGGAGAATCTGAAATGGTTTGGATATTAGCACAATAGAGATTTGACCCAGATACTTCTTGAATAAAATTCTGCAGATTTACAACATCAATATCTTATTTGTCTCTGAAGACTGTGATTTTATATTCGCTATTATTTCTCACGCTTCTGTAATAAGGGCGGTAAAGAATATGTACAAATTTGGAAATGATTTGAATTGTAGTTAGTGAAAATGCAAACACAATAATTGATTTGTTTTAAAGACTATTCGTTAAAAACGCTTCCACAAAAACACCATGATCTGTACAAACAATAAATGTTAAAATGTATTTGTCATTTGTGATTGTAGACTGTGTACAAAGTATATAGTAGTGGGTAGTCAAAGTATGTTGTTGTAAATCAGGTTCTCACGGATGCGCTTATGAAGATGATTGTCTTCTAGGTTGTTGCATTATGTAGTCTCGTAAACGTTTACCGACGTTTCAGAGGTGCTTTCTGCTTTCCTTATCAGGGTCACTCATCATCACCAATACTGAACACATTCATTTTCCACATAAAATTATCTAAAATGAAGCGAACATAAAAGTTGATGACGTAACGCAGCAAAAATAGAATTCAGAAAATGTGTGGCTACAACATTTTGACTTTTTTCTTGTTCAGATAACGGACGGTGTACAACGTAAATATTATTTTAATAGTGATTTCGCTCTTTAACTTTGTTTTCCGATATAATTACTAGCCCTGAACCGCCAAATAGATAATTTAGCAGGTAGGAAATTAAGTTCATGTGCAGCATAGAACAAGTAAGATTCATATTTTGGCTTCTTAATTCTCAAACACTACTTGATTATGTTAAACAGTAAGCCTTAAGTGTTGAGCGGGGTATATAACGTTATCCTTCAGGAATAATTTTACGTGATGCTGTACGAAGTGAGCGTATTCTCAATACTGAAAATTCTTCGGTTACCAAACCTCGACATGAAGTCGTGGAAGGTAATTATGAGTGTAGTTATCAATTATATGAAAATCAGAAACAGATGGGGCAGGTAGATCCAGAAGATCTTCAGTCTCAACGACTTAGAGAAAAAGAACTGGTTGACATAAGGAATGGACATTAATGCTTCCTCTGTCTTGCCTTAAGCGGGTAAAGCCATTGTTTCTGCCCTTGTGTATCTCATCATCACCCCTCCTGTTTTATTAATCTTCATTAATCACATTCATCCAAACGACTGCGTCCATCGCAGACCAGGGTGCCATCTGGATGTTACTAAGCGAACTAACTTTAAAAATGTATTAATTTTAACGAAAAGTAAGCTACTAAGTCATGTAGGATTTGAGGTTTTCACGACACTGCACGCAGGGACCTCCGAGACGTTGATAAACTTCTATCAGACTATACGGTGCAACAACCCAGAAGGCTCACCGCTGTTAATACCTGAAATCTTATTAGTAGGTTACACCATCTGAATGTTGTTTTCAAGGTTGGAGCCAATGTTAAATGCGCTTTTTTATTTGTATATTTGAGGAAATATTGTAAGATTTTATGAACAATGGAAGAAGGTAGATTTTTTCCGCGGGTTTTTCAATTTATCCTTACATCTTTTCGTCTAAAACGCGAATCGTCTGCTATAATGCTGGAAGGAATGTTCCAACAGACGACTGCATTAATTCTGCTTTGTGGCAGGCTCTCAGCTAATGGCATATAAAGTAAAACTGTTCGTTAAAGTAAATTAAAGAGTGGCATCCTTTTACATTTACACGTAACGTTCAAACATAGGCAATTTCTTAGCTTAGTAAAGAAGCAAACGAAGGAAGTGTTTAAACCTTTGAAGCAAGAAGTCATCTAAACAATTGCCAATTTAAAAATTCAATTCTTATCTTACATAAAAAAACAACGCTTCTCCAACACAAAGACCAGTTGACTCATGCTGTTCAGAGGAATAATTTATGTTTAAACTGTTCCGAGAATCATATAAACCGTACAAAACACTTTCGTGTGCAAAATGTAGAGTTATTGAATGTTAAAGCAGATGGTACACATGGTTATACCCGAGCTTTAAGAAACCAATACAAAAATACAAAAGATTATAGAACATGTAAACAATCAAACGTTCAGAAAACACAAGAACAATTCCCTTACTTTTTAGTTCTCTTAGTTGTCCTCCATGTTAGTGGAAAGTGAGGCTGACTCACGTGTGGGAACAAATTTACATGGGTGGATTAAGAAAGGAACATAGTATTTTGGATTTACTACAGAACTAAAAGAGTTTTAACCAAAATTCTGGACAAGAGAATAAACGAATATGCCACTTGATATAACTCAAACAGAGAGTTTATTGATGCTGATAATGAAATACAGACCAACTGGTACAAGAAACTGTCAACCTTTGAACAGATTGAAGATTTTGGCTAAGCTTCTAAAGCACGATGTAGCCGGAAAACCTTAACGGCAGCAACATGTAAGAGATCTAGACTTACATCGGAGGATAATATTAAAGTGGATCATAATGAAATAGTACGTGAAATTGTAGAATGAATTCAGCTGGTACAGTATATGGCCCAGTGGCAGGATATTGTGAGCATGATAATTAACCTTCGCGTTGCATAATAGGAGTGAAATTCCTTCGTTAGATAATTGACTACCAGATTCTAAATAAAGCCTCTGGTCGAGTCGGTTAATACGAGGCTCGTCCATAAAGTAAGTTTCCCTGGAACCGTTTACAGAAACAAAACACAATTTCATGGAAATATTTATTGCAACAGATACAGCAAGTGTCCAGCTATTTTTCAACATATTCGCCACCGGAATTGAGACATTGGTCATACCGTGGGACCAACTTTTGAATACCTGTGTCGTAGAAGTCTGCCGCCTGGGATGGGA